GGAAAAGGAAAAGGCAAGAGAAAAGGCAAGAAAGGAAAAGGAAAAGATAAAGGAGATGGCAAACAAGATGCAAACTATGCAAATCAACAACAGCCACGTTCTTTGCCTGCGCCTTCAAGATCTTCACAAGCATCAGGAGGTCAACAAGGTTTCTTTGTACGTTGTGTGACAGCAGCAGCTGAAGTCCATGACAGTGAGGTGAACTTGCTGTCAGGCATGATGACCTCATGTCAAGATGAAGCTGACTGCGCGGTCAACAATGGTGAGACGATCTTCAATGGCATGAGTGCCCCTGTGAGGTACTCTTTGTCAAAGGAGATGCTCACAAAGGCTCCTGATGGCTTTGCGCTTATGAGCGCTGAGGAAGAAGTGAAGGAGATGCAGGCCATTTCATTTTTGACTGAGAATCGCTTCCCGCCGACTATTGCAATCCTGGACATTGGATGCACTAGAGCTATGGGATCAAGGCGAGCAGTCGACCATTTTTGCAACTATGTCGACAATCACCCAGATTGTGGATTATGGTACTCTTTTGAGGCTACCAAGAGCAAGTTTTACTTTGCCAATTCCCAGAAGGCTACTTGCTCTCAGAAACTGGTGATTTACATGTATGATCGTGCATGGACGATCCACCATACAGAGTTCGACATAGTGGAAGAAGGAGAAGTCCCTTTGCTTATGAGCTTGCCACAGATGAGGAACTTAGGCTTTGAACTCAGGCTGACACCTCAACATGCTTATCTGACATCGATGCCTCTTGGTATGAAATATTTGGAGTTGAAGGTTGCAGCCAGTACTCATCTTGTCTTGGACTTCCAAGATATTGCATGGTATCTGTCTGACGTGAATTTGCAGACTCGGCGCGAGAAGAGTTTTTACTCTCACTTCACTCACTATGAATATGGTCATATTTCTGTTGATCGCAATAGTGATGAAGATGTAGCTGAACATGCATATCCTGTGGTTGACTACTGGGAAGTAGATGTTCACAAGAGAGAACTGATACGTCACCTTACAGGAAGATTCTTTTCCCAGCAACTAAGTCCTGTCCTGTAGACACTGACTTGCTGGAAGACTTGCGACTGACAATCATCAAGAAGAAAGAGGTGGAAAAGAAATCAAGAAGCAAGATGATTGGCGCAAGGCAAAATGGAAGGACCTACAAATTGGCTATGAATGGCGTGGTAGAACAATTTTTAAGTTCAAGCCAGATGCCAAAATTCCAGATCTAAAGATCAGGAAGGCTGGCATTGAGCACCGTGGCATTGGTGATCCCGATGCAGTGGTGCGCTCCTCCTCAGAGAAGGTTCCCATTGCAAAGGACAGGGAACCAGGCTTCTCGTCAGAGAAGGAAGGTACACCATCAAGTGCCGCGGAAAAGCCCGTGCCGCCAAAGTTTCGGTATACTTCCAAGGGTTTTGATCCATTTTGGAAGGGACACAAGTCGAAACCATCTGAGCCTCAGAATGATTTAAAGGGTGATGATCTTGAGGAGTATGCTCCCTCAGAACCACCTGAGAGGCCAGAAGGTGAACTTGTAGAAATTCCTAAAGCATCAAAAGGACCATCAAGTGATAAACATGAACCACTTGAACCAGGTGATGGCGCTCTTGAGCCTAGGCGGATTTCAATCCCATTACCTGGTAGTGAAGTTGTTGCAATGACACCGGCATATAGGAAGATGTTACAGAGACTGGAGGACAAGGTAGAGCTTTATAAGCTTCATGTGAAGCACTACCATATGAGTCCTACTCAGTTTCGTAGACGTGTTGCTATGTTGAAGCTTCCTGACTCTGTTTTAGAGAAGTATGAATCAGTTGTCAGGAACTGCCGTGTTTGTAACACTTCAGTGGCACCTCCGCCACGAGCCAGAGTCTCCGGTATTAGAGCTTCATGTTTTGGCGATGTTGTTTTTGCTGATCATTGTGAGGTTGAACTTCACAAGAACAAGTATATCATCTTACTTGTTCTTGATGGTGCCACCCTCATAGATCAAACCACCATCCAAGCATTGAGGCAATGGTCTGATGAGAACAACTGTGTTCCAAAGGCCATCGTAGGAGACGAAGCCTTTTTCACCGATGCTTTTGTTGAATACTACAGGTTCCATGGTATACAACAATGTCCTTGTGGGCCAAGAACTCCTTGGCCGAACCGAGCAGAGACAGCTGTACGTTTGTTCAAACGTATGTGGCATGTTATGAAGGTAGATCTGGATGACCCACGTTTTCGTGGTGTTACGGTCAGAGAAGTGGTCAAGAAGGTAGTTTGGGCAAGAAATTGTCAGTTGACTATCAGTGGATATTCACCAATAGAGATAGCAACTGGAAGACGTCCACCAGATCTTTTTGACCTTGAGACCGCAAGCCCTGAGCAATTGTCAGCTAATGCCGCCGCACAAGATCGTACAAATTTGGAACTACAACGTGTGGCTTTGAGAGCTCATCAAGAAGCACGACAAGCTCAGGACCTTCGAGCAGATCTTGCAAGAAGGACTATGCCAAGTGACGGTCCTTATTTCCAAGGAGAGAAGGTTTTTGTTTGGACTCAGGATTCATCAAAGTTCAAGGATAAAGGACGTTGGGTTCGTGCCACAGTACTTGGACAAGAAGGAGCTATGGTCCAAGCCAATACTGGTAAGGCAGTGATACGTGTGAATCAGTCAAAGGTTAGACGCGATCACGATGAGTGGCATGATGTTCCCATACCGGCATTAGACGATGAGAATCCGGAGAACTTACGTGAAGATCACGAACTGTATGTTGATGCCGAATTTGGAGAACAGTCCTTTTTCTTCTGTAATGATGATCATCTTGATGTTGTTGAGTTACTTCATGGAAACAGTGGATTATCTTGGTTCCTTTCAAAGAATGGTGTTAAAGTTGCATCTCCTATGGATTTCAAGGCAGGATACAACTTTTCCACTATGAAGGGTCAAGATGGTATTTGGCAGCAACTGGAGAGATTGCAGCCCCACTGTATAGTGATCAACAACCCTTCTCCCAAACAGAACAGAGCTTCTATTTGGTTGCTATGTTGTAATGTGATCGAGTGGCAGTTGAGAAGGAAGAAACATGTGTTTGTGACTGTTCCCAAAGGAAACAAGTTTTGTTTGTTTTTGCAGAAGTTCATTTCTTCGTTGAAGGATCCGATTTTTAACTTTGATGTGAATATGAATTGTTTTTGTTATTGTCCGAAGGGAATGAGTTACGTGACAGTCTTCCATTCCTATGCATCCTGCCAAGGATGGAAAGGTATTGGTGACTGTTCATTTCAAGCTAAAACAGTGCAAGCCACTAGAAGCAACCAGTACTTCAAGGATCCTGACTGGAAGAAGTTTCCGTTCTCATTTTTGGTTGGGATGAATCGTTTTCTTCCTTATAGTGAGACTTCAGATACACGTCAAAGTTTCCTTATTGAAGATCTTCTGGAGAACTTTGACTCTGGAAGTTTGTGTGGAACAGCTCTCTTGTTAGAGAGAGAAGCTCATCAGTCAATTTTGTTGAATTCCGTAAGAACGGAAGAGACGACGGAAATTCCGGTTCCACTTCGACACATACTACCACAAAGGTTCACTACTACTGAACTGATCAGAACCTTGAGGCAGGTAGATGCACTACCTCAGAGATCAGAGTTTGATGTGACAACATCCTCTGATTCTCGAATTGTGTCATTGATTCCAGGCCTGAAGGAGATTAGACGAAGAACCTTGCCACAGATGTATTTTGAGAGATGCAAGGTTTATCGTGGTACTTGTGGTAGAGTGCATCCTCTCTTCAACTCTGAGGATGATGCAGTGTTGATTATGTGGAAGCCAGGAAAATACCATCAGGTTTTCTTTATGTTTGTGTCACAACTGTCTCCTCATCATGAACAGTTTTTGGTAGATCATTGGAGTATGATAGTTTACGAAGCAGAGACGACAGGCGCCGTGAAGCGCATTGTGACTCCTGATGAAGTAGCTCTAGAGGATCCAAAGGATCAACCTCCAGACTACGGACCACCGATGGATGATGATATGGCTTATGAGCCGATTCCCGTCTCGGGGGAACAGCAGTATTTTGATCCAGATGATGAAGATATGTATCCGCCTGGTGATGGACCGGGTGGCAACCCTGATGATCACCAGGGTGGACAACCTCCGGGACCACCTCCGACAGGTTCCGTAGCTGGTCCGAATCAGTTCGGAAATCCCGATGTTCCTTTGGAGCAACTCGGATATCCATCGAGCGATCCGGAAGAGGCAATGCCGGAGATTACGAGTGAATCCCGTCCGCCAGATGATCCGGGTCAACCACCGATAGGGTTTCCGAGTGATACGGATCCCGTTCATCCGTTCGTACCGTCGCCAGATTCGAACACGCCGGAGCC